GGTGGGGCCGGGCGGGGACCCTCACTCCTCCTGGCTGACCTCGGCCGGCGAGCCCAGGCTCTCGGGCGGCTTCTCGGCGTCCCGGGCTCGCTCCTGCTCCGAGAGCTGCTCGCTGCTGGGGATGGAGTTCTTCTTGGGGCGGCCCTTGGGCTTGGTGGGGGACTCCAGGCCGCCCCCCTGCAGCACCTGCGAGGCGGGGAGGGGGGGCAGAGGAGGGGGACACCCCGGTAAAACCGTGCTGCCGTCAGCCCGGACCGGGAGGAACCCGCCTCTCCCCCGTCCCCCCGAGCAAAGCACCGACCCGCGCCGATCGCCCTCCGCACCCGCGGGGCCGAGCTGCAAAGCCGGGCGGGCTCGGACCGGGGCGGGGGCCCAGACGACGCTGGCCTTGAAGACCGGGGCACATATATTTTTATTATTGTTATTGCTGTTATTTTTTGGCCAGGGCCGGCATGCAGAAGAACGAGCCCGCGGGGCGGCTCTCGGTACCCGGGCGGGACGCGGACCCGGCGCGCACAAGTGTCGGACTCGGGCACTTACTATTTTCTTCCATTTCATGCGCCTGTTCTGGTACCAGGTTTTCACCTGGAGCTGGCTGAGCCCCAGCGATTCGGCCAGGTCTATTCTGCGGGCGAGGGAGAGAGAGAGAGAGAGAGAGGCGGTGAGCCCCAGCAGCTTTCGTCTCGGCTGGCAGCTTTCCTCCTTTCTCAGGAAAAACGAGCCCCCGGCCCGGCCCGGCCCCGGTCCGGAGGGTCCGGCATCACCTACCTGTCGGGCGTGGAGAGGTATTTCTGCTTCTCGAAGCGCTTCTCCAGCCCCATGAGCTGCAGCTCGGTGAAGACGGTGCGGCTCCGGCGCCCCTTCTTGGCCTTGCTGCCCGGCTCCGGGGGGCCCGGCTCCAGCTTGCCGCGGAGGTGCAGCTCCAGCGGGAGATGGGGCGAGGCGGAGCCGCCCTGCAGCCCCGAGCCGGCGGCCAGCAGCGCCGAGCCCAGCCCCGAGCAGCCCAAGGGAGCCAGCGGGAACTTGAACACGGCGGCCGGCTCCGCCTTCAGCACCGCTGCGGGAGAGAGGGGCCGTCAGCGCCGGGCAGCCCCCGGCCCGGCCCCCGGGGACCCCCGGGGCTGCAGGGTGCCTCGGTTTCCCCGGGGATCCGGCCCTGCAAGGAACCCCGGGCCCTTCTCCTCCTTTCTCGGCAACGGCGAGGCGAGGCGGAGCGGAGCCCCCCGGGGTGCGGGGACCCTCGGGGCGGGGGTCGGGTCCCCCCGCCTCCGCCGTACAGGGTCAGGTTTTACCCTTCAAGCGGCAGTTGCTAATTACGGAATGACTGGGGGGGGGGGGTACGACTGGAAACGGTTTAAGTCAACCAAAAGCGTTCCCCTTCAGTGCCACCCAACAGCCGCCGGGCCCGCTGCAGCCGGCTCAGCGCGGCGGGCGGCGGAGGTCCGGGCACCGTCCCGGCTTTCCCTCCCGAGCGGTTTTCAGGATTTTTTTTCGACCGGGGAACAATTTCTATCCCTCTCCGTGAACCGCAGCCCCACGATTTTCCTATGAAGACGCGCCCGGGGAGCGGACAGGGAGAGTTTCCAAAGGGAGCGAGCCCTTCCCCGAAGATGCTGCTGGGGACACGCTCTCGGCCCAAGCCGCGGCCGCGCAGCCACCGCGCTACCCGGCGGGCTGGG